AAGGCGTGCGTCTTTGCCAAGTCGCTCGTCTACGTCGGCGTCGGCCTCGCGCTCCTCACGGCCGACGACGCGTACCACTCGTTTGCGGCCGAAGCGTCGTGGCTGCCGCTCACGGTGCTCGTCGGCCTCCTCGGCTTGAACCTCGTGGTGTTTGCGGCTTTTCTGGACGCGCCGTTTGCCGAGTCGGGCGGCATTCGGTTCCTCAAGCTCGTCGTCGTCCTTGTCAACGTGGCTGCTGTCCTGTATGCGACGACGTCGGTCGACGGCATGGTCGCGTGCGCGGTGGCGGTCTACTACCTCGCGGCCGCTGTCGGCTCGTGGACGCTGCTGTTCTCCGGTTCGGACAACCGGCTCGGCATTGCCATCTACTTTGCCCACGACGTGGTGCTTGGCGGCGTCTGCCTCGGCGTCATTACGCTCCTCTCGGCCATCTACGTGCCGGGCAAGATCCAGACGTGGCTGCTCTACAACAACGCGCTGAGCCGCGGCGTTGTGATTGAAGACATTTTGCGCGCGAATTCGCAGCTCCACGACCAAGAAGACGACTTGACGTTCGTACACATGAAGAAGATCATCCTCGAGCAGCAGCGCGTCATTGCTGCGCTGACCAATGGAAGCGACAGCGACGAGACAAAAGGCAGCCTTGGGCGCGCGCACGTGAGCGACACGGACCTCTCGGAGCTCAAGGACGCGAGCTGGAAGCTCACGAGCATGGTCGACGAAGCGCCCAAGAGCACCGAGGTCGACGTGCCATTTCATCGCGTGCGCCGCGCCAACTCGAGCGACACGATGGGCGCGATGCTCCGGGGCAAGCCGCCGATGGGCGCCTTCCCCAAGCCGCCGCCGACGTCGGGCCCGTAGACACTCTATACAGTCTAGTATCAATCTATCGAGTACATTTTCCATGCAATGTTACCTAGTCGTTGCGAGGAAGATATAGTCGGCCAGTAGATTGAAATGCCAACGTGACGCACTTCTGACCCTCACAAAGCCGCCCACCAGTTGGGACGCGCAGTCTGCGGCGTCCCTTGGAGGTACCTTTGGTATAATGTAATAATGTCGACAAAATAAGGAGCTAGAAAATGGTAAAATACGATTAATCTCGGTGGTTGGCAAAACCGCGGCGGAAGAACGACATCATCGAGCGGCTCGACCGGTCGCTCGGGTCCTTCAAGATCGAGTTGGACTGGACGACCTCCTCTTCGTCTTCGTCGGCTTCGTGGGCGACGCTGCCCACCATGTCGAGGTCGTCGGCGTCCGTCGGCTCCATGAGAGTCCGCAGCTTGGCGGCTAATGGCTCGGACGACTGACCGACCTTGGCAACGACTTCGTCGACGTGCTTGCGCAGTGTCAGCGTAATCTACACGCCTCGTTGAGCAAAATAGACAAAAAAAATCGAGAAAAATCGAGAAAAATGTACGTCTTGTCGGTCTTGGCCGAGCTGGTCCGGGTTGATGTTGGTAAAGATGCCGTCGCTGTCCGCATCAAAGCACGCCTCGACGTCGCCTTCGCGCGCGGTCGTGAGGCGCGTGTACAAAAACGCCATGCGCGGTGCGTTTTTCACGATAAACGAATTGACGACCCTAATCCCGGTTGAAAAAACGCAATAAAACGTCTTGTACCGCATGTACGGCTCCTTGACGCCAAACTCGACTTCGGTCGACGAGTTGAAGAGGAGCTTCGTGACGAGCACGAGGATGCGGCGGCTGTTGGCGTTTGGGACTTCGGGCACAAGGCCATACGCGTGGGGGGTGGTGATCGCGGGACAAATAAACCGTAAAAAGAGAAAACCGCCCATGATGGCCTAGAAAATACGGATAAAATCCCGAAAAATAGACGACAAGCAAAGTACCTTGACAGCGGAGCTGTTGCCGTCGTTCTCGGCTTCGTTCTTGTCGAGGAAGCGCTCGATGAGCTTCTCTTTGAGGTACCGACAGACGTGCGCAAACGAGAGCGGGAGCTGGTCCATGTGGTTGTAGATTGCATCCACAATCGTCTGGCACGCGTCCATGAGATTCTGCGCGTTGATCTGGAGTTTGAGCGGGTCGGCGAGGCTCTAGTTGATATATGGCTTGCAGGCGTCCATAGATTGTGTGTGTATGTACCGGGTCCTTGGCGATGTTGAGCTCATAGTCCTCAATGTGCTTGTCGGTGCACAGCGCACGGATGTGTTCCGAGAGCGCGGTATGGATGAAGCGCAGACCCACGGATTTCGAGTACATGGAGAGGAGCCGACTCGAGTAGTCGTCGGATCGAAACAGCGTCTGCAGCGACAGCGCGGATTGCACCTACCATGTAGAAACAGTTAGTAGCTAGCACAAGTGGCGAGGACTACCTCCGTGTCGATGGACCACTGCATGAGCTTGTAGAGTGCGTGGCGGCTGCCGTAAACACGCAAAAGCGGCAACAATAGCGCCATCTACACGAATGTTTTGAGTTTCACGACTCAAAAAGCGCCGTGGGCCAACCTTGTCGCTGCGCTGGCACGTCGTGAGAAGACTCGTGACGACAATCATATCGGGGCGCACGAGGAGCGACGTGAGCTCGTCGCCGGCCTTGTGGAAGCTCGAGAGCATGCTCGTCTTCGACAGCCGCAACTCGTCGTCCTACAAATTTGTGTCAAAACCCATGGTTTTGAGTTGGCACGTTTGAGTTTGCACTGGAAAGTGCAATCTCGCGTGTCGTACTTCAGAGAGACGGTAGTCGCGCATGCCGCCCGTGGGCTTGGGCGTCGACCAGCCCGAATCTTCGGTATGGTCGGGCTCTATATATATGTAGCCAGATTGAAACAAAGCCAACTTGATACTAGAAACATACCTGGCTTGGTGCCGTAGCGCGACTGGAACGACGACGGCGAGTGCTCGAGCAGCATGATGGGCGTCGGCACCGCTTGCGTTGACCGGAGGCTCTCGAGCGTCGGGCGCGACGGGCGTTGCGACTTGTGTCGACGAATGTCGTCGTCGCTGACCTCGAGCATGTCGGCCATGACCTTCTCCAGCGCGTTCAAGACGCTGCGCGGGTTCTTCTTTTGCACCAGCTCGTCGGCGCCTACGCCAGCATTAGCGCTGTACACGACAGCAATATCGTACCTGTCTCGTGGGGCGTCTGCGTCGTGTGCATCTTCATCGAGAGCGACTGCTGCAAGTTGCGCGTGAGCTCGGCGAGCTCGGACGTGGCTTTGGTCAGCGCCGCCGTGTCGATGCCATCGGACGACGACGGCGCGGCGCGGAGCCGGTGCATGGTCGGGAAGAGCGGCGGCTCAGGGTCGGCAAACATCTCGATGGGGACAGCAACCGCGGTGTGCTGGAGCATCTCGAGCTCCTTGCGCTGGGCCGCAATTTGAAGTTCGTTGTCGTGGACTTGCTGGAGGAGGTCGCGGACCTGGCAGCGCGCCTGCTCGAGGCTCGCGCGCACATGGTCGTACGAGGCCTGCTGCAATCGCCGGATCCAGTCTATCCTCACGTCGTTGGAGCGGGCGCGGAAGAGCAGCGACCGCTGGAGGCGGCTCGTGACCTTGAAGCATGGACCGCACTCCTCGGCCAAGATATGCGACTCGTTCGCGCTCTTGTTCTTGTAAATGATATCGACCGACTCGACGCTGCAGCCGTCGAGGCTCAGCACGCCACTCGGGAGCTCGCGCATCTCGCGGTAGTAGTACAGCAGGTTGTTGTGGAGGCACACGTAGTACTCGACCCAGCCCGACTTGAAGCTCTTGCCCTTCTTGGCCATGGTGGCGACGACCGGGTTGAGCTTGAGGAGCTCGTCGCCGCGGATGGCGAACTCGGCGCCGAGCGCCTGGAGGCTTGCGGCCACGTTCGGGTCCATCGGGGGCATGAGGGGCTTTCGCGATGTCTTCTTCTGCCGCTTGACAACGGCCTCGTTACTCACGGCGCGCCTGGGTATTTAAATATTCAATTGATACCTTGGCCGTTGCATGCATTTTATTCCGAACGTGCAAAAAGGCCATTGGATAAAATCCGCGACATTATTGCACCAATGAAACGCGGCGACGCTCCACGCGTGGCGTCATTGACGGGCGAGCCCCAAGTTCAAGCGGCGTCGCAGGTCATGCCACATGCATGCCACCAGTAACCTCGCGACTAAGCTTATATACTAGAAGCGTTGATACTACGATTCTTCGACCAGTATTTCAGAGCTTTAGGAGTCCAGCCACCTGCCATCAGCCTCGCAACGCTGTCATGTACGTACACAACGGCCGACGGTCCACGAAGGGTACCCGGGTACACCTGCTTCGTCAAGGATCGCTGTGGAAGCGGAGCGAAGCCTCGTATGAAAAGGCGGCAGGACTTCGGGTTGATGCGGAAGGAGGACGACGATGGTCGCGTCGACCGGCGCCTAATAATGAATTTTCGTGTGCGTTGGCGAGTACCACATTGGTGCAGCATAAGCTGCAGGGTCTTTGGCGCCTCCCACCATATATCCATGCTTCTCTTGTTCGCTCCGACGTCGTGTCGCCGGTGCTGCACCGAGGCTATGCTTTCTATTCGTACGATTTGGTTCTGACGGCGTCGGCGCAGCTAAAGATGCGTGTTTTTATCCTATACGAACCGCCCGTCGACCTTTGTCAAACGTCAGCGCAGCAAAGGAATATCATCGATGTCTTGTATCTCCTTGAGCGCACAGCGTACGCGCACCGAATGCAGCGCTTCGTTTTCGTCCAGCAAGCGCGACGGATACATAGCACGGCCAGTTCTCAGCGAGAGATGCAGCGTGGCGTGCAACTAGACTGGCGCAAGTATCTTTACCATTCAGTTGCTACCACACGGCCCATCCCCGCGTTGCCCATCCCGCCGCTCGGACAGCGTTGGCGTCAACGACGAGAGCTGTCAACGAGCACTTTGCCGTCTCGTCCCTGCGGCATTGCATTCGCGATTGGCGTCATTGGCTAAAGTGGCGTGCGTCTAGACGTTCTTCGTCCGGAAACGAGGCGTTGCGTATCCGGCACCGGCCCCTCGAGCTTTTTTGTGTGGCACAAGAGAGTCTGACGTCAACCGGCAGCGATGGTCGCCTTCGCTTCGCCGCTCTTCTGGCAGATCCACTACCTCATTACGAGCCTAAGTAAGAAGAACTTCAAGACGCATGTAGCCGAGCTCAACCAGGTAGACGCCCTCGCCATGCGATGGATGGCAATATGCATATGGACTAGCTGGTCGGGCTCTATGGCGAGGACGCGCGCGTGTACCTCCTCGGCTGCCTCGTGCGCGAGATCGACTTTCGCGACACGAAGAGCCACAAGGACTCGCTCAAGGTGCAGCTGCTCACGCATGAGATTGGCCAAGCCTCGACCAAGCCCAACTTTACCACGTACCTCGTGCACGCGATCCAAGGCGACGGCCAAGGCAGCGTCGTCGTGAACGAAGAGTTTCTGTTGCATTTCTGCAAGGTCGTCAAGCTCAGCTTGCCGCAGCAGATCACGATTGGCCTTGCGTTTGCCAACGTCGAAGCGCGCAGCCTCGCGATGGAGGCCATCTCGTTCCTCAAGACCAAGCTCCCGGAGCTCGCGATGGCCGGCGCCAAGCTGCCTGCCGACGTGCTTCACGGCCTCGTGTACCTCCTCCGCACGGACGACGCGTTCCAAATGGACCTCGCGCAGACCGACTCGTTCCTTGCGAGCATCGCGGCCGTGCACCCGACCGAGATGTCGAGCCTCGAGCTCAAACCGCTCACGCTCGGCAACGTCGACCTCGTCGACTGCCTGGATGCTAGCGCCATCTCGGACGCGCTTCTCGACGACGTCCTCGGCGCTTGTACGTTTTACGACCTCATGGAGGACGTGGGCTACAGCTGCACGGCGACGCCCAAGGCCTTCCGCGGACTCCTCGCCGAGGCGGGCTTGGAAAACTCGCCGTCGATCCCGCCGGGCCACGTCGCCGGCATGCTCTCGATGCTCACGCGCACCTTCAAGGGCTTGCCTCTCGACGGCGCGGTGCTCATCTCGACCTTGCCGTCGTACGAAGATGCGGATACCGCGGTCGTCGACGCTCCGCTCGAGACGTGGAACATTGATGTGATCGCCGACGTGTTTGCAAAGGATTTTCCGTCCATCAAATGGCCAAAAGTGCAGGAGAAGCTCGACCGCGACGACCTCGACGTCTCGGACCCGGTGCGCTTCCGCGTGCTCTTGAGCTGCTACCAGCTCATTTCGCGCACCAAGTTTCGCGTGCTGCCGCTGCTCAAGCCGTGGAAGCACAAGCGCGTCCATTTGCAGCTGCTGTCGGCGGCCATTGGCGCGCCGCCCGAGGTCGTCAACTTTGCCGACTCGCCCAACAAGCTCGCGCCGTTTGAAGGCGCGGACGCGACCGGCGCCCCGAAGAACGGCGCGTGGTTCTCGCTCGATGTCGTCGAATCGCTCCTCCTTCTCGGCCAAGGCGACGGCTATAGCGACGTCAAGGCGCTGTTGGACGCGGCGAAAGCGGCTTGTCCCGACGTGCTCATCGCTAACCTCGCGCACGCCACGTCGCGCTGGAACGGGCTGCGCGAAGAGCTGTTCTGCGACCTCTTTTACTTGTACGTGGCCGGCCGGCCGAATGCAGCGCTCATTGTGCGGTACCTCTACACGGTCGACCCGAAGCTCGTGCTCTATGCGTGCGTCAAGTGCTGGCTCGGCGCGCCAAACCTCCTCGGCCGACTCTTTTCGCTGCTCCGCAACACGGCCGACGCGTTTGCGAGTATGCTCAGCAGCAACTTCTACTCGTTTGGGCTTGCGCTGGCGGTCATGGGCGCCAACCACGACGTCCTTGCGCTCGACAGCTGGCTGCTCGAGCGCCTTGGCTCGGGCGCAACGACCAACGTGCCGTTTGCGACGTCGGTCGTAGCGTTTGTGCATCGGCAGTACGCCCGCGCGCTGCCCAAGGTGCAGCTGACGCCGGCGACGAGCGGCGCGCTCACGGTCGAGTCGCTCGCGGTGACGCTCAAGGCGCTGCTGTCGCTCTCGCTGCCGCCGGCGCTCGCGATGGAGGTCAAGAACGTGGTCGCGCTCTGCGCCAAGGCGCACTCGATCCTCAAGGAGCCCGAGCCGGTCGCGGCGCCGAGCGTCGTGTCGCCGCATGGCGTCACGGTCGAGATGATTGAAGAGCAAGCGAACGCCTACTTCCAGCAAATCTACACGTCGGAGCAGAACATCAACGACGTGGTCGCGATGCTCAAGCGGTTCCAAGCCTCAAAGGACGAGACGGAGCGCCAGATCTTTGTGTGCATGGTGCACAATCTCTTTGACGAGTACCGGTTCTTCCCGCGGTACCCCGAGACGGAGCTGCGCATCACGGGCGTGCTCTTTGGGAAGCTCATTGAGCACCAAGTGCTGCCGTCAACGTTCCTCCAGACCGCGCTGCGCCTCGTGCTCGAGTCGCTTCGCGAACCGACGACGTCCAAATTTTTCTTCTTTGGTGCGTGCGCGCTGCAGCAGTTTGTACCGCGGCTCCGCGACCTCCCGGCCTACTGCGCGAACCTGAGCCAAATTGCGCACCTCCAGCATGCGCTGCCCGAGATCATGCGCCAGGTGAACGCGGTGACGCGCACGTTGGGCGCGGATGCGCTTGTCGTCGACGATGTGGCGCCGGCGCCTCTGAGCGTCGCGGTGCCGCCGCCGACGCTGACGATCCCGGCCGCACCGAGCAGCCCGAAGATTGCAATGCCGCCGCCGACCGCGTCGTCGCCCGCAATCATGGACGTGGGCCACATCTTTGGCGACGAGAGCTTGGCGGATGAGAGCGCGCTCGTGACGGAGCCCGAGCAAGGCATTGTGGACCGGCTGCACTTTATCGTCAACAACATGAGCATCTCGACGCTCGAGGCCAAACTGCCGGAGGTGCGCCATCTGCTGTCGCCCGAGTACTACACGTGGTTTGCGCAGTACCTCGTGTCGAAGCGCATTGCGACGCAGCCGAATTACCACGCTGTGTACCTGATCTTCATGGAGAAGGTGCACGCGCCGGCGCTCGAAGCGGCGATCTTCAAGACGTGCCTCCAGCAAGTGCGCACGCTCTTGACGTCCGGCACGATCACGACCAACTCGCAGCAGCGCACGCTACTCAAGAACCTCGGCTCGTGGATGGGGCTCATGACGCTCGGCCGCAACAAGCCGCTCTTGCAGCGCGACGTGGATCTCAAAGAGCTGCTCTACGTCGGCTACGAGACAGGCCATCTCATTGCGGTGACGCCGCTCGTGGCCAAGGTACTTGAAGGCTGCAAGAAGAGCAAGATCTTCAAGCCGCCGAACCCGTGGATCATGGGCCTCATCCACGCGATGAGCGAGCTCTACGACGTGCCGGACCTCAAGCTCAACCTCAAATTTGAGATTGAGGTGCTCTTCAAGTCGTTCAAGTTGAGCGTCGAAGACCAGCTGAAAGCCAACTTGCTGCACACGCGTGGGGCGCCGCCGCGCACGTGCAACCCCGACTTTAATATCAAGGTGGCAAAAGTCACGGCGTCGACGCCGACAGGCCGCACGTCGCCATTGCATGCCGTGACGCCCAAGGCGTCGTCGTCGTTGCCCAAGCCCATGACGCCGACGCCGCTCAAGCCGCCGGCGCTCAAGAGCAAGGAAGCGTACCCGCCGGCCAACAATGGGTCGGCGACCGTCTCGGAGTCGACGGTGATTCCCAACTTGGCGTCGTACGTGGCGGTCAACCCGGATCTGCCCTTGCACCATGTCAACCTGCGCCGGCTCGTGCCGCTGGCCGTCGACCGCGCGATCCGCGAGGTCATTACGCCCGTCGTCGAGCGCAGCGTCACGATTGCGTGCATTACGACGCGCGAGGTCATCCTCAAGGACTTTGCGACCGAGGTCGACGAGGCCAAGATGCGCAAGGCCGCGCACGTGATGGTGTCATCGCTGGCCGGGTCGCTCGCGCTCATCACGGCCAAAGATCCGCTTCGAAATTCGATTGCGTCGCACTTGCGGTCGCTGTTGCCGACGAGCGACCCGCACCAGGTCGACCACGTTGTCAACGTGTGCTCGACGGAAAACACGGACCTCGGCTGCATGCTCATCGAGAAGGCGTCGTCGGAGAAGGCGATGCGGGACATTGACGAAGCGCTCGGCGCGGCGTACGCTGCCCGGCGCCGCCACACGCCAAAGCAAGAAGCCGGCAGTCCGCCCGTGGTGTTTGACGGCTCGGTGCCGCCGCCGTCGACGCTGCCGCCGGTGTTCCAGCCGTCGCCGCACGGCATTTCGCCGCACCAGTGGATGGTCTACGAGGCGTTTACGCGCATTCCGCGCCCGACGTCGTTGACGCCGCCGACGTCGCGTCCGGACGCGGCCACGGACGGGCTCTCGGTGCAGCAAGCGCTCGAGCGCTTTGCGGTCTCGATGGAGAAGTTTGAGGTGTTTGTGCAGCACATTGTCCGCACGGCGGCGTCGGCCCAGCGTGAGCTCCCGGGTCTCCTCTCGCTGCCGCAAGACAGCGACGTCTTTGGCATCCTCCGCGACATTCGTGCGCTCGGCGCCAGCGTCAAGGCGACAGTGCGCGAAGAAGCGTGCCTCAAGATTGCAAACCGCGTCGTCAAGTGCATGTACGAGCTCGGCAAGGGCCGCGGCGACGAGCTCTTTCTCGACATTCTCGTGTCGTGCCTCGACATGCTCAGCGCAAGCTGCGACGGGCTCAAGAAGGAGGTCGTGCGCTGGATCCTCAGCATGGCGGTCGACGACAAGCTCAAGCTCCACTGCGAGATTATCATTGCGCTCGTCCGCCTCAAGGTCGTCGACGTGAGCGAGTTTGACGCGTACCTTACGCGCAACATGGAGCGCACGGGCCTCGCGATCGAGTTTGCAGTCTACGTTGTGCGCCAATGCCTCTTTTTGGACCATGTGACGCTCAGCAAGCAGCTGCCGCAGACGCTCGATGCGCTCGAGCGCATTGTCGAGCGCCACGGCGCGCACGCAGCGACCAACAAGAACATAATGATTCTCTCGAATCTGCTCGAAGAAGCCAAGAAGCCCAAGGTGGCGACGCCGTCGACGCCGCCAAAAGCCAAGTCGCCGACGCCGACGATGGACCCGGCGACGTTCCGCCACACGGTGAGCAACGCCATGGAGCACTGGGTGGCGCTCGTCAACGACCCGGCCAACAACCACAGCAAGATGCACATGCAGTTTGTCGCGATGCTCAAGCAGCACGGGCTCCTCAAGGACGAGGAGAGCATGGGCGCGTTCTTCAAGGGCGCGATTGAGATTTGCGTCGACGTGTGCCTCAAGGGCTCGTACCAAAAGCCGCCGGCGGCGACCAAGGTCCCGCTTCAGTACAACGTGGTCGATGCGTGCACGCAGCTCATCGTGTTCCTCGTCAAGTACCTCGACGCGAACGCGACGATGAAGCTGACCGTGCTCTCGCTGGCCGTGAGTGCGATCGTGTCGTCGGTCATTTCCGCCCACGACGCGGCCGTCAAGACAAACGCGCTCTTTGACCAGCGCGTGTACTTTCGCTTCTTTGCGAATCTGCTCAAGGAGCTCACGATGCAAGAGCCGATGCTCGACGCGATCCACCTGCAGGTCCTCAACACGTTTGCGGGCGCGTTCAACCAGCTGCAGCCCATGTCGGTGCCCGGCTTTTGCTTTGCGTGGACCGAGCTCATTAGCCACCGGTGCTTTATGCCGATGCTGCTCCGCGCCAAGCAGCAGCGCGGGTGGCAGATTCTGCACCGCCTGCTCATGAGCTTGCTCGTGTTTATGGAGCCGTTCTTGCGCCACATGCCGCCGCCTGCGTCCGTCGGCGCCTTGTACAAGGGCACGGTCCGCGTCGTCTTGGTCTTGCTGCACGACTACCCCGACTTTTTGGCCGAGTTTTACACGAGCTTTTGCGACGTGCTCCCGGCCGCGTGCATCCAGCTGCGCAATGTGATTCTGTCGGCGTTTTCACGCTCGATGCGCTTGCCCGACCCGCTCACGCCCGGCCTCCAAGTCGCGCAGCTCCCAGAAGTCAACGTGTCGCCGCGGCTCATGCCCAACTGGAGCGCGGCGCTCGCGCACAACCAGCTCAAGGAGTATCTCGACGCGTTCCTCTTTGCGACCTCGAACCGCGCGGCCGTATTCCCGCACGACCTCATTGGGAAGCTCTTGCGGGCGCCCAGCGCCGGCGTCGACGTCGAGTCCAAGTACATGCTGCCGGCGCTCAACGCGGTCGTGCTGTACCTCGGGAAGGAGGCGATCGCCGAGATGGCGGCGGCCGAGAAGACTGCGGTTTCGTTTGAGCAGTCGGCCATGATGGACGTCTTGCGGTTTTTGGCCGACGAGCTCGACGTCGAGGGGCGGTACTATTACTTTAGCGCGATGGCCAACCACCTCCGGTTCCCCAACAGCCACACGCACTACTTTAGCTGCGTGCTGCTCTACCTCTTCTCGCACGCCAAGGCGCCCAGCGTCAAGGAGCAGATCACGCGCGTATTGCTCGAGCGGCTGATTGCGAACCGGCCGCACCCGTGGGGCCTCCTCGTGACGTTTATCGAGCTCATCCGGAACCCGAGCTACAAGTTTTGGGACCAAGAGTACCTCCACTGCTCGAGCGAGATCCGCGACGTCTTTGACGATGTCGCGCGCACGTGCATGGGCTCGGTGCCATTTCCCCGCCGCACGGACGAGTAGGCCCGATCCCGCCATTTTCATGTAAAAAATATATCTTTACTCAAGATATATTGTCTGGTGGGGACGTTAAGGACTATGCCCGCGATCTAGTCGACTCGTCGAACGAGAATAATGTGAACCGGGGCGTCGTCCTGAGTCGCAGACTGTGTCTGCGTTGAGAAGGTCTCGCTCAGTGCAATGTTCGATCGTGGCGCCTCTGACGTGGCAGCGCCACACGCCAGAGAAGCAATGTGAGACATGAGCCTTCAAGGAATAAAACTCGCTGATATACTGCTAGTATCGGGGAAGAGGGAGGGATTGGCACTGGCGAAAGCGAGCAGAAGTCGGAAGACGACGATCGAGGCAGGGACCCGTCGATTGTGATTTGGCCACGGACAAGTACCGGCGCTGGGAGCAATTGCGTCAAGTCGGTAGCTGTGGATCGCTGCCTCAAGATCTCGACGGTCGAGGTCGCCTCCAGCACAAGACTGCCTTGCGCTCGTAGCGATGTATGTATTTTTCAAACATCATGCGCAAGCGTCCTCTTGATGGACTAGATCGGCTCCGGCGGGATACAACCATACTGGGATTTCAATATCTCGGTGTACGTGGTGGTAGGCAGCTGCGTTCCGTATATCGGTCATTAGTAGTCCTGCCAACTAGCGTAGGCATGACGGCCCATCAGCTGCGTTGGCGCCAAAGATAAGACGCCGCGCCCGATCCTCGCCGAGTCGCGTTGCTTGAGGTTACGAAGCAGAGAGGGATCGATGCACTCATCCTGCGCGAATGGTGTCCATAAGTAATTATTTTTTTAACCAATTTTAAAAAGTAGAATTGAGTTGCGGATGATGCTCAGCGTGCCACGTCAGGTTCGCGTGTCGGTGGGGCAACTTCAACAAAATGTGCCAAGATGCGAGTGTCGGTCGCTTGTTTCTTGAAGGTTTTACGCACCTACTGCGATGCGAGGAGCTGTCGAGGACGCGCCTCTGCACCTCCAATGTGCGCCTCGATGGGGCTCGACCGGATGCGGGTAGGAATATTTATTTATTTATTCGTAGACATGTCGAGCTCGATGGAAAGTCCAGGCTTATATTGCATCCTGTGCTTGCTCTTTACTGGCGCAATGGTGCGAGTGCGGAGGAGGAAGCGCGGGTGTGTGGCCGGCGCCATTGGTCACGGCCAAAAATTGGCGCCATGACGTGGCACGCCACCAGGCCGTTGTGGGTCTCGTCGGTTTCGCATTCCGCAAGCTTGCTCTCGACAAGGCCAGCGAGGTAGCGACAAAGTCGATCTCGTCCGCCGACTAACAAAGCAAAAGCCAAGTTGCCGCTCGACGCCATTACTCTCGGGAGCGTAACACATGGCGACAAATCGGAGGAGGAGCGCGCTCGACGGTGATAGGCGCCGCCTCATCTTTGGATCGCCACTTTTCGATACAACGTCGATGGGCAACTGCCAAGGCAACTGCGTCACCTTGGACCCGCTGCGGTCGCCGCCTCCACAAGTGCGGGACCCGAGTCTCTTTCGGCTCAAGCTCGGCTCGGTCGTGCAGTTCCGCGACCTCACGCTCTTGACGGCAGCGCCGGCGTTACCGCCGTGGGCCTCAGTCCACAGCGGGTACTACTACGGCGTACCCGTCCTCGTCAAGCAGCTCTCTCGCCCGTCGAGCGCAGTCGTCCAATGCTTCAACTGCGCGGTGCGCCTCCTCGTGACACTGGACCACCCCAACATTCTCGAATTCGTCGGTGCGAGCCTCGATGCGGGTCCCGCCATGTACGACGTGTTGCGATGCATGGCAGAGAGAATAATCTCTTTTGTATCTAGCTACATGGTCACGGAGCGACTGGAGCGCGGTGACTTGGCGTCGCTCTTGGCGAGTGCGACGCCGCTCTCGGTGACCACACGGCTCTCGATGATGCTCGACATTGCGCGCGGCCTGCACTATCTGCATGCGCAGAGCCCACCGATCGTACATCGCAACGTCACGGCCCGCAACGTGCACATCACGTACGCGCTTGTTCGCGATCCATTTTGTGCCGTTAACGCTCATTTTGTTTTTCAGGGGCGATTTCCGCGCCAAAGTGGCAAACTTTGATCTGTGCCAAGCCGACGCGCTCGTCGAGAATGGGTTTGATCTGGGGCTTCTCGTGGACGACGCCAATGGCGACAAGAACGCGGCCAACGTCGAAGACAACCTCGTCGACGAGCTCGCCAACGTCTACTGCTACGGCCGCGGTACGCTCGCAATTACTTCGTGACGGCTCAGAAAAACGAATCTGTGGATTAGTGCTCGTGCATATAGTGACAAGGCAGCGCACGACCGTCGACGATGGGACGACGGGACATAGCTACGAGAAGGACGCTATTGGCGCGTGGCCCACCGACGTCTTGGGGCTCGTTGATGCGTGCGCCCACCGCGTGCCGAGCGACCGGCCGACATTTAGCGACATTGTCGATCGACTCGGCAGTCTTCTCATTCGAATGGAGCAGCTCGCAATAGAATGGCGTCTCGATGACTGAAAAAGTATTGTATTTTATTCGTGCTTGGAATCTTCGCGCAGTCGTATCCGACAAGCTTCGGACCTTTCAAACTTTGCTGTGGATTGGTGAATCTTGCGAAATCGTGTTGCATTCTTTTATTTGGCTCATTGCGTGCGGGTCTTCGGCGCATCGGCGGCGAGGATCGCCTCGAGGCACTCGACAATCTCTTTAAAGGACGGGCGCAATACGGGATTGGCATCCCAGCACTTCTCCATGAGCTCAAACAAGGCAGCGGGCCACTCGGATGTACGGAGAAAGACTGGACGGTAGTTGTGCTGGACAATAAACTCCATGATCTTGGCCTGGGGGGCTTCGACGTTGGCGTACGGCTGGTGACGCGTCACCACTTCGACAATGACTACGAACAATCATCAATACGACGTCAGAGAGTGCCGAACGTACGCATTGCGTAGCTGTAGACGTCGACCATCGCCGTGTAGATGGTATCGCCGCTGAGGATCTCGGGCGCGGCGTGGGTCGGAACCCCAACGTTGGTCATTACGCCAAGAATCACATCTTCACGCGCAAACTCAAAGTTGCCGACCTTGGCCTCACCCGTGCTCCTATGTTGCTGTCAATATCAATTCGTCTCAAAAATATGTAGTTGAAGCGTACGTCACGTGAATGGTGGCAGCCGTGAGCGTACGGTGGAGAATAAATTTCTCATGCAGAAAGCACATGCCCTTGGCGACGCCGAGCAGGATTTTGATACTTGCGCAGACATCCACATGTGAACTTTGCTCCAGGCGGAGGCGCAAGGTGCCAGGCTCGGTCGCCTCCGTAACCATAAACCTAGACCCAAAGGCCAAGTCATCGTTTTCGCCATAGTATTGGACATGGCTCGTACGCGTTCTCTCCGTCCGAGCCGATGCCCACGAACTCGAGTACGTTCGGGTGCTTGGCCTGGGGCATGATGCTCGACATACGCAGGAGCGTCTTCATCGCATCGCCCTTGCAAAGGCTCAGCGGGAGCATGTAGATGTGTACTTTCTTGTCGTCGTACGTGCCGTCGCGGACTTCTTGGAACGGGAACCAAATGACGGCCGTCGCGGACTTCCCGGTGGACGTTAATCGCGTCGGGTCAAAGGGATCCATGTCGTCGTCACGGCGCTCGAGCGAAAAATGCAATGTGACTCCGAAATGCGAACCCCGTCCTCGCCCATGTGGTCGGACAATACAGTGTATGCGGATGATTTGCATGCCTTTCAGCGGTGTCCACCAGCACGTCCACCTTGATCGTTGCACAGGATTGTTGAGTTCAGTGCAGCTGTTCCAGCTCCTTCTGGACCAAGCGATGCTCGATGATACTATCAAGGCCAGGAAAAATGTATGGCCTTGATAATATCATCGATGTCGAGGACGTCCTCGACTTCTTCGCGCTTCCGGAAGCAATCCAAAGCGCGAGCGCCGACGGCTTGTAAATACGTGGTCGCGTACGGGCCGCATTGTGCTTTAACGAAGTCTTCTTGACAAGTATTGTATCAGTCGGTGTGTTAAAATTGGTCATCGTCTATGCCCGGGAAACAATATCCAAAGTCGTACTAGCACCGCTCAATATTTCACTCTGGTCGGGTGCCGTCTACTGGTGCAGCGCGTCGGCGGCGAGGATCGCCTCGAGGCACTCGACAATCTCGTTAAAGGACGGACGCAATACGGGATTGGCATCCCAGCACTTCTCCATGAGCTCAAACAAGGCGGCGGGCCACTCGGATGTACGGACAAAGACAGGGCGGTAGTTGCGCTGGACAATATACTTCATGAGAGTTGCCTGGGGGGCTTTGATGTTGGCAAACGGCTGTTGCGTGGTCACGACTTCGACAATGACTATGCAATATAGATATAAGACTTCTGTTGGCTCAAGGAAGAGAGCAAGACGTACGCATTGCAAAGCTGTAGACGTCGATCTTTTCCGTGTAGATGGGGGTGCGGCTGAGGATTTCAGGCGCGGCGTAGGATGGAATACCAAAATTGGTCCTTACTCCGAACAAAGCATCTTGACGGGCAAACTCAAAGTTGCCGACCTTGGCCTCGCCCGCGCGCCTATGTTGCCGTCAATATCAACTCGACTCAAAAATATGTAGTTGATGCGTACGTCACGTGAATGGAGGCAGCTGTGAGCGCACGGTGGAGAATGCCATTGTCGTGGACCCAGCGCATGCCATTGGCGACGTCACGCAGGATTTTGATGCTACCGCGGACATTACGCGGCGAATTTTGCTCCAGGTGATTGCTCAAGGTGCCGTGGTCGGTCGCCTCTGTAAGCATGAGCCTACATATAGAGTAAGATCACAGCTTTGGGCTCGATAAGAATGGCGTGTACGATCTTGTTTTGTCCGAGCCCATGCCAACGAACTCGAGTACATTCGGGTGCCTCGCCTTCCTCATGAGCGCCGAGATACGCAGAAGTGTCGGCACCGCCTTGCCCGTGCTCTGGTTCAGCGGAAGGGCATGGATGAGGACGCACTCGCCCTTGTACGTGCCGTCGAAGACTTCCTTGAACGGAGACCGAATGGCGGCCATTGCGGACTTTGGGCCGAAGATCAAGAGCGACGTGTCGATGGGCGTCATGGTGTCGTTCTCCTGGTGCTCGCGCGCTCCAGCAAAGGGCAAAGTCTCTACAGCTGAGTTGGCATGGGAAGTGGCCAGTCGATTCTTGACGAAGCGCGCGAGTGGATAATTTTTCTCGAGAAGCGCTCCATCGTTGAAGTGGCAGCTTGATCCTTGTTCGCTTCAGGTGAATAAAGGCGGTAGTGTGCGGTGGTTGCTCACGGTGGTTCCTTCCAATGGCTTCGCATCCCAACCAACATTGAGAAAATGCCCGCGCTCCTCAACTCCAAAATGGCACCCGATGTCGACAAGGAGCCAACTGCGTTTGATCTTGGGGTATGCTGTGTGTGTAGTACTGTATGCCAATCTGCGGCCTATCGCGTGCCACCGACATCTGCAGTGCTGTCGTGTATGCCAATCTGCGGCCTATCGCGTGCCACCGACATCTGCAGTGCGACTTGCCGAAGCAGGCAAGTCGACGGAGCGCGGGGAGCCAGCGCGGGACTCGACGAATCGATATTATCATTTGTGCGTGATAAATTTTATCAAGTGCGGATGTGGAAATGCAAGTTGTATGTCGAAGGATTGCGTCATACGAGAACACAGCACATTATCAACTTTGAATCAAGCAGTTCGGTTCGCATTTTATGCGAACCGAGGGCAAATTTTGCCAGCGCCACCACTTGAGATGCATGACAGCGACTAGGATTGGCATTGTTGTATTATCCATCGATGTATCGAGTTGCCGCAAAGATGTGGCTGGGACTCTACAACTCGGCACCGATTCACCAGGCTCCAAGGACGTGGTTTGAATACACT